TACGCAGCACCTGAAAATAGTTCCCAGCATGCTCCCTGTGCAAGCAGGTGGTCACGTTGGTTATGTTGACGGAAGTTAGCCTATTTTCAGGCGCTGCGTAATAGGCCTGGGCGATAAAACGGTATCGGTATTTATCGACGGTACACCTTCTTCGATATCGATATAAAAATTTTCGATATAGTGCACGATATTGGAACGTGCTATGAGTGACACAGACAGCACACACAAATACGAACACATGCTGAATTGAGTGCTGTGCCTGCCAGTGATGAGGAGATTGTGAATAAAAAAAATTAATATTAGTCGAATTTAAAATAAACATTTGGTACAATCGAAAAATGGTACAATCGAAATGGTACAATCGAATGTTAGGAGTGCGTAAACATTTGCATTTGAATGTTAGGAGTGCGTCAGGGAGCGTCATCAGTGGCGCACGAGATGCGGTGATAATAATGTTAGTGACGTTGTTGCATTTTAATGTTTTGTTAGTCTAGCCCACGAGATGCGCCACTGCTGTTATGCATTCAAAATATTAGAGAAACCTATAGAAGCTCAATGTGGAGAAGATCTTGATTAGGTGAAAACCGAAACCAAGCCATTCACACAGAACGCATATTCAGCGCATTTTTTAGATGGACAAAATTTGACTGCTGCACTCGCGTCTCACACAAGAGATGTAGCCATGCAAAGTTAGAGAAAAAAAGTTAAAGTTTTAGAAAACACGTCGCAAATTTGTGGAGGTTTATTTCTTTTCACTGCGTCTTATATGTTTTTAAAGGCAATCTGTGTGATGGGCGATTCGGCTCTTTGTATTAAGCAATGCATAAATACATGATGCTGTTTGTTCATAATTGTTTATGCAATTTACGAAATTATATTTGATTTATATGAGTTAATTTAGACGTAATGCACGTTTTTTTATAGACAGTTAAATCCTTGCGTTGACCATTTAAATGTGCTGCATTATTTTGCTCATTGTGCCCTCCTGTGGCCTCGGGAGACAAGCCAAAATTTCCTTAAGACCTATTTAATCAACATATAAAACATTAGAAATTAGATATTTGTTGAATTTTTATTGTGTGCTTGACTGTTAAAACAAAAAAATATTTGTTGTCTCAATAAATTGGGTTAATTTTCTATTTTTCTAAAAATGTTCTATTGCTTATAAAAAATTTAAATAATTATCGATACCAAACAATATGAAACATTATATCGTTGATACATTTTTTAGCTATATTGCCCATCCCTACTGCGTAATATCTTTGCGCCTGCTGCACCCATATGGTACGGCAGCAAAGTTCCTTGATTATTACGCCGGAATGAGAGTATCCATTTTACAGTATCCAGTTCCTAGCCATATCGGCCTAGAAAATCGCAACTTTTCATTTTCCGTCAGTCTTAGTACACGATGTAACTACAGAAGAGTCAAGTTTTAAATAGGAAAAATATCGGAACTCTTTGGTCATTTTTGAGCGAGATGCTAACGGTCTAATCAGATTCAATTATCTATGCTAAGCTGCAGCTAAAAGTGCTACCGCCAGACCCGGAGATCGGCTGAATGGATTCGAAAACGGTAAAACTCAACTGTTTAACTCTAGGGGAGTTGGAAAATTAGCCTATTTTCAAAAATAGTGGAGTGTTCCTTTAAACTCAGTCAAAACAACTACAATGTGTTCCTCTAGGGGGCGGTGTACTGCAAGTCTTAGTAAGCTTTTTCTCAATTTTTACATTTCAATAAGTTTTTTCGTCTTATAGTTATGTGAAAAATATCAACATTGAAATATTCTTTTAGGAACAAGTATCAAGACACACCCTTAGAAATTGAGATAGAAGAGTACATTTATAGGAAATTAATTGATGTATTTGTTTACATTTTAATATCATGTGTTTTGTCTTATAGTTCTGTGAATAAAACCAACATCTATATGAATAACTGTGCGTGTTGCTCTTGGTTTTGCATTTTGCAGACGGTCCCTATCCTGCACTTTTACATTATAAGGTCTATCCGTTACAATACCTTAAGGCAGATTAAAACAAATAAAACACATTGTGTGTTCTCTTCTACATTTGAAAACAATTATAACACATTATGTTTCTTGTCCTTGTGCTAAATCGTTAAAGAACTACTGAAGATTTCCGAGGTTGAATCTCTGACAAATGTCAAACGTCGAACCAACTTTATATCTGGAGGAACAAACAGTTAACAGTTATATGACTAGGCGTGATTCGGTGACGTTCCCAGTTTAAACGATGACAAACCGAATAAACGTTTAAAATACTTACTTGTTTTTGGACCTCGATGACCTCGGAAACCTGACGCACAAACGCATCATTGCTTTGTCTGTTGTAATGGGCCACTGCGAACTGTAACGCATTCTGAACCCCTTCATCGTTCATGTCTGCATCTATTGGGGCTCCAGTCAACCCAGCGCTCGCCACGGCCAAAATCACGGCCAAAAACGGCACAATCATCTTAAAATACATGCTCGAACCAGATTAATTGACTCGCCCTGTCTTGATTCTTCCTTGTTATGTCGACAAACTGTAACCAAATCTGCTCACCGAGATTATATAAACAAACGTCACTCTCTGTAGCTCTGCGTTTAGGGGCGGGGCGTCGTGCCTCCACCAATCGCAGTTTCAGGGAGAGGCAATGGGTTTGGAAAAATTCATTGTTTTGTCTTTTTAATTTAATTACAGCACTTTTAAGGCGAACACTGTATTGGAATAGTCTTTTTAGTCTTCCTCTTTACACACTGAAATGAACTGACATCGTTTTGCGGATAATTTCAGTTTTAGGTTTAGGCTATATATGCTATGGATTATGACGGATGTTATGGAGTGGATTGAAATGTTTGTTAAAATATCAGAATGTAATTTGGGTTTTTCATGTGGAATAGTACCAAAATGTATTCACAAAGATAAAGCTAAGCCTGTTTTGTTATACAGATGTTTTTAGATGGTTGAGATTTTTGAAGACAAAAAATACGATTAAATTATTGAATGTAGCCTAAGCACTGAGTTACTTAATTTTGTTTTATAAATTTTGTATTTATTTGTTTGATTTATTTAGATGTCTGCTCCACCTACCTGATGTTTGTCGTAATGATTTGATGATGTTGGTTGTATACATTTTAATGTTTTTGGAAACATTTGAGAAAATCTTGTAATTTTATGTTTTAAGATAATTGATATTAAGCCTAATCGAATTAACAGTCTTTACAATTCAAACTAGGCCGTCTGCTTCAGCCACTGTGTCTGAATTGTTATAAATCCCTCTTTCTTTATTTTTCTATTGACAAATTATTTTCTGTTGACCCCATTTGTATAAGCAGCTTGGATAAGACATGCAGGTCTTTATGGCTTATGGTTTTATAAATCTGTCTCTGTTATTGTGATCTCAACAAAAGCAGGTGTAAAGTAGCACAGAATGAATGCCTGTTGTTGTTCCTATAAAACAAAATCCAAAACTCCTCTTTGAAAAAATTATTCTGTAAAAAATTGTAACTTCCTAACACTTTATTTCTAGTTTCAGTCCTCCCATTATATTTTAGCAAAATCAAAGTGGTGCCAATTTTGCCTTTCGAGAGAAAGCTCAGATAATGGTTTCATTCACTGCAACTCTTCCAGAAATTGCTCATTCATACAGAATCAGGCCTTTGCAAGATATTTTAACTCACTGAGTAAACAACCTCATGCAAAGTCACAGTGATGATTACCGTAAGTCAGTGGCCTGGGGTATTTTTTTAAGCACTTCCAATTACCATTCCAAACTGTCCTGTACTTACAGTTTCTCTAGATTTGTACTATGTTATAATTCTTACAAAAATATAATGACCTATTGTGGCACTGCTAATGTTGTTATTCCTTATTTATAAGTCACATTTGTTAAATCTTTTGTCTCAGCTCTCAATGATCGGTATGTTTAATCAATGCATTGTGTGAAGCAGCCCAATGATTGATTCTCACCACTAAACTAATCACTGTTATTTGCAGAAAGTAAAAATCAGGCAGTGACTCTTCAGTTTCCTTCCTTGGATTTTCTATGATTATTTTACAACAAGTAGTCTTGAAACCAGGCAGAGGTTTTCATCATTATTTGAAAGCACTGTAAATAGGGTTGCAACAAACCCCTTAAGAAACTGCTTACTGTTGCTGTAATGGTACAGGTATAATCACGTAATAATCACTTTTTAAAAGGCGTTGTTGCAGCTGGCTGCAGGACTTTAGCATAGTCTCAAAGATTAAATAGATTTGCGCCAATTTAGTCGATTGTTAATAAATTGCCTGAACTTGCTTCAGGAAGCCCCCAGGGGCTTCAACTCTGCTTCTGGAGACACACTGTCCAGGAGAGTTTTGCTGCAAACTATGATGAATGTAATAATGTATCATCATCTCACCCACTGATTTGGAAATTACAGTAACTATAGTCAAACAGAGTCATTTGTGGATTCACAAACTGATATATAGGCCTATTACAAAATACAAAACTGCAACATTATGAACATGTTGCTGGAAGCATAACACGAACAATTCAGACGTAACTGCAAATTAGTGACAGACAAATGAAGAAGAACAGGAGTTCATAAAAATGAGCATAGTCTGCATCGCACGACTTTTCCTAAACGGAAACCCCGCCCCGCGGCCGATTCTAAAGATTTCATTGGTCATGTCAATCACAGCGCTGCATGCCTAGTACACAACACTGAAACAAATGCTAACCCTTAACGCTACCCTAAACCATAACATTAACCATAGAATAGCATTGATAACACATAATGATAGATAACGACACTGCTGTTATACTCTTACTGTTAATCGCGATCGAAATTCATGATTTTTCTGAAGTTTTCCTGACAGGTGACAGCGTGACTGAATTGACCAATGAAATCTGCCAAGGGGCGGGGTTTTTGGCTTTGGCTAGTGTGAGTTTGGGGAAAAAACATCACCGTCGCGCTTTGACCGTATTTGCACTTTAAGGTTACATAAGCATTGTTAATTGTAAACAGCTTATCAACACAACCTTGTCTGGAAAAGACACAGCTACTTAACGTACGATGGGCTTTGAGGACTCTATTATGCAGACGACTGAGTACGTCAAGTGAGTAAAATTGCGGAGCGTTAATTTAGTAATGCTAGTGCAGCCTCTCCCACTACTAAACCGGGTTAAACCATTTCCGTTGGGGTGCAGCTTTCCTAGTCATTTCGAGGTCACTGCATGTAGGCTACTTCACCACATTCGTCTTTGTTTGTCTAGTTTGCATGCATTTATTTTTTGCTGAGCATTCATTCACTTAAGTAGTCATAGTAACTTTAGTCAATAGAAGTCAATAGAAATTATTTTCATTAGTTGCATAATGTTAGTTCTATATCAGTCAGTATCATGTGCGTTGTCTCATGTTTTCTATGAAAAATTTAACATTACACGCCATAAAGAGCAATGCGCTTATTTTAAAGGGGTCATATGATGCTTTTTTAAAGATCATTATTTTGTGTATTTGGTGTAACAGAATGTTGACATGCTTTAATGTTCAAAAAACACATTATTTTTCAAATACTGTATATTATTGTAGGTCCTCTATGCCCCGCCTCTCTCAAACGCTTCGTTTTCTACAAAGTCCCTCCTTCCGACAAGCGCAGTCTGCTCTGATTGGCCAGCTGACCCAGTGCATTGTGATTGGCCGAACACCGCAAGCACTCGTCGGAAATGTAACGCCCCTTACCATAATCGCGAGCATCAGCTTTCAAAATAAATGTAAAGACAGAGCCCGAAAATGGAACAGAGTCCTTTCAAATCCAAAGAGATATTCTTTATAAAAGTTAAGAGTCAACCGCTCCTACCTAAAACTGCTCGTTCTAACACGCCCCCCACATGTCTACCTCACGATGTGGGAAAGATTTGCATAACACTGCCCAAATGTTCACGCAAAGAAAGAATGCTAACTTTTAGTAACTTTTATTCTCGCTGTAGTATTGTTGTTGCCGCCGCCGCCATGTCATGAAGGCGCTGTGTGTTTCGTTGTGAAAGCGAAACTACTTTGTTTGGCCTTCCAAAAGAGGACACGACTAGAAATCAGTGGTTAAGTTGTATTTACAACACTGTTCCAGAACAGTTCAACCCAAGTATTCAGATGTGTCCAGCGCATTTTATGGAGGACTGTTTCCTGATCCTGGTAGAGTAGACTACAGTGCCGGCTGTTCTGACTCACAGACTGCAAGTAAGTTTTTTATATTTAAAGAATTTGCCACTGACGATTCACACGCGAGTTTTGGGCAGTGTAGGGTACAGTATGTGGAAAATAATGTGTTTTTTTAACCTTAAACCGCATAAACACATTTCATTACACCAAATAATGTTCTTTTTAGCAACATCATATGACCCCTTTAAACGGCATGTAGAATTAAGACTCAACAGTCATGAAATACTTTAAAATATAATTTTATTTGAGAAATATTCTCATCCTGGCATCTCAAGACAACACCTTATGTAATGTGATGATAAAATCAACAGCAGCGATGTCAAGAAACCTGACAAATGGTCAAACAGTGCAACAATATTAAGTATTATTTCGACAGTGAATGGTGGGAAGAGGGTGGATGAGGCTGAATAAATAAAAAAACAAAACAATTAAAACCCCTTTTTTAAACAAAAAAAAAAAAACAAACAAACAGAAAAAACATGTTTATTTGCTTACTAAGTAAATAAAAAAATATAGTATTAAAGCCATTCTTAAGATTTTGGGCAGTTGGGGTTGACTGATTTCGAACAAAACCTTCAGAGTATGATGGGCACAGGCATAAATTTTAGCCAATTTATTACATAGTGTTTTCATTTGTCATGTGTCTCCTAGAAACTAGGCACATACGTCTGCATGAGTTTGTTGTGTTCGAACAACTTGAAAGTCTGGTAGTGTAAGATTCTCAATCATTTACTGTACGATGACCAGTTTTTAAAATCTGTTCCGATCCATAAGTTTGTTTATCGTTTGTTGTCAACTAACTTTCTTCACTTTTAGAGAGACCCTTGGTAACCTCGATCGGTCTAAACTACAGCTCCTAGCACTCTCTTCTGCTGGGGTTGGAGCTGTTTTGTGCTACTTGACATGGAGGCAAAGCCCCAAAACAATACCAGTGGGGGATGGCTGGTGGGGAGCTGGAGAGAAGCCTTTAACTGAGGGCAAAACCATTCACAGATTTGTAGTGACGACCTCGGTGGAAGAGATAGAGGTGGGTGTACAATCTAAACAGTAATAATGTTTTATTCCAGTGTGTGAAGAATGGTGTGGCAATCAGCAATTTTAGAACCAAATAATAGGTTTTCACATAAATCCCCACATGAAAACTCTCTCTTCCACTTTCATGTGTGTTAAATATACACTCACTCAACCACTATATATTTAAATGTCATCATTAACCCCACTATTTTCTTTAGGATCTACAAAGACGCATTGATCAAACACGCTTCACGATTCCACTGGAGGATAGCCGCTTTAATTATGGATTCAACTCTAACTATCTTAGACGGGTGGTCTCTTATTGGAGGCACCAGTTTGACTGGGAAAAGCAGGTGAAGGTGATTAACCAGTATCCTCACTTCAAAACCAAAATTGAGGGTAAGCACCTAACACTTTCAAAGGTGATCATTTACCTCACTAGATAAAACATGTAGTAACAAAGCATGCAATTTCAAGTCCCACATCTTGCATTCACAAAATGTGATTAGGTATATTACACACTGTTCATTTTAGTGAAAGCCTGTACTGCTTCTCAGGAATAGATGTGCATTTCGTCCACGTGAGGCCTGTCCAGAAGGCTGGACAGACAGTTCTCCCTCTCATGATGGTTTATGGCTGGCCTGGTTCCTTCTATGAGTTTTACAGGATCATACCCTTGCTCACTAAGACCGATTCAGATGTGGTCTTTGAGGTCATCTGCCCCTCCATTCCAGGCTATGGCTACTCAGAAGCCCCACATAAAAAAGGTAAGTCTTTCAACATTTATGGAACTTATGGCTAATTCTGCTAGACAAAGACCTTGATAACTTTGCAGACACACAAAAAGCAAGATGGCATATGGATAATATACAATCTAAACATATGCAAATAGATGGGAAATGGAGAACAGACCTGCTGTTCTTTCCATTATTTCACGTGAAGGATTCAACACTTTGGAGGCTGCCCGCATCTTCCATAAGCGGATGGAAAGACTGGGATTCACCGAGTTTTACGTGCAAGGAGGAGACTGGGGAGCCTTCATTACAAACAACATGGCCCAGATGAAGCCAGAGTAAGAGTTTTACACCCCTTACTATCCTAATAACTGTCCTTTTAATGACACGAGTCTCTGTCACTAGATTATTTGTCTCTTTTTCTGTAATATGTTTTTGTAATATAGAGTGCCTTTTTTTAATTGTCAATTAAAAAGCTAACTTTTGCTCTCTTTAAAATAAGGTGCATTCGTGGTCTGCACTTGAACATGGTCATTGCCAGGACAGACAGCCTTGGACAGCTCCTCTCCTTAATCACTGGTCGCTACCTGCCGTTCCTGGTGGGCTTCACAAAGGAAGATGTAAGACGACTCTATCCTTACATGGAGAAGAATATATTTGATATACTGAGAGAAACTGGCTATTTACACATTCAAGCCACTAAACCAGACACAGCAGGTAATACTTGGCACATATCATGTTATGCTTTTGGGTAATGTCAGATTAACACTTAATTGAAAGCCTAATTTAAAAATATGTTGCAGGTTGTGGACTGAATGACTCACCAGTCGGATTGGCTGCCTATATCTTGGAGAAATTCTCCTCTTGAACAGACATAGGAAACAGAGACTTGGAGGATGGAGGCTTAGAGAGGTGAAGAAAGATTAATCTCATACAGTTGCAGACATTTTGCACAAATGTAAATATATAGTACTGTTCCAAAGTTTGAGGTCGGTACAATTTTTTCATCTTTGTGAAGTCTCTTATACTCGGCAAAGCTGCATTTACTTGATAAAAAATACAGTAAAATCAGTAATATTGTGAAACAAATTTTAAAATAAGTTTGCTGTTTGAATTTATTTTAAAATATAATTTATCCCTTTGATGGCCAAGCTGGATTTTCAGCATCATTACTGCAGTCTTCAGTGTCACATGATCCTTCAGACATAATTCTAATAGTCTGATTTGGTGCTCTAGAAACATTTAAATATTTTGAATTTTATTTTATTATCGATATTGAAACTTACATATTTTTGGGTAGCTAACAAAATCTAAAAATATAAAGGTTTAGTTCGATTTTAATTAAGTAGCTTTGTCACTTATTGTTCCATCACAGAAAGTTCAGTCTAGATGACCTTCTGCAAAAGATGATGCTTCTACAAAGAGAACATGAAGAAAGATTTCAAGACAAGGGTGGACAGAGTGTAAGTTCAAAAAGTCTTTGTAGTGACCCAATGTGAATACTTATACCTCATACTCATTGAATTCTTTGCAGCCTTTTCAAAAAAGATTTGATTTGTATGGCTAAAAAAAGCTTTGTCTTCTTTCCCTTAAAGGATGAGTGTGTATGTGCCCACTGGCCTGGCTGCCTTTCCTGATGAGCTGCTCCACTGCCCTAGGGCCTGGGCTGGCTCACGGTTTACAGATGTGCGTTCTTTCACCTACATGCCCCGAGGGGGACACTTTGCTGCCTTTGAAGAACCTCAGCTGATGGCTCAAGACATCTTTCAGTTTGTGGAGAAAGTGGAGAGCAAAGACCACAAATAACAGCAGTATATTAAGAAAATAATGCACTGCTCTTATCATTTCTGTTTAGTGTCATTAGTGCATTTAACAATCTGAAGTTAATTCAGTTGGAAATGCAAGGTTCAACATTAAGGAATGTTGTGGTTTTTCAATGAACCAAAGTTATATGAAAACATTCTGTACAATATCATTTTTTTTTTTTTGCATGATTTGAACATAAGAACTCAAGATATACTTTTTACTGTGTACTGTTAAAATCAGTAAACATTTCTAAAAAAATGAAACTAACTTCTGCTTGCTAAAAAAGAAACTTAGTTTCATTGTACATAACAATATACATGCTACAATCGTCAGTTTGCATCGTTTCAACCAGATTTAATGATCTCTGACCTCAAGATTGAATGTTCTTTTGTAAGTGAATGGAATTGCAAATAAAAACAAAGAGTACAAATATATAGCACCAAATGGAAGTGTTAAAATGCATTATTTTCATGAAAATATATACTGACAGACATAAAGAGCCTAAAACACATGCATTTAAGTAAATTAAAATCATGTACATGCATCAGTTTCCAGAAGCTGCCATATAGCAATTGGTTTTAATTAATAGGAATTACAAATGAGTACAAACGGTCTTGGAGTGAGTAGCAGCCAAGATTATAAAAAATTAGAAAACCACCACTGTATACTGTAAAAGTTAATAATGTAAAATATATGGATTAGCAGATGACAATGTAAACATGGCATAAATAATCTGAGGTTTTAAAAAAATTTCAATTCATAGAGAATTCCTGAATAATAATAAAAAAACAATAGCCCATTTACTTTTTGGCTAGTTATACAGCTGTGATCCCTGAGAATGGAGTGAATTGTATTTCAACATTCCCTGAAATCTGTTACTCTTTATTCCCTTATCATTTACAGAAACCTTTCACAGTGACAGGGGCTTGAAACCATATATAGTACTCCAGATCTGTTTGAATTTTTTGTAACTCCCCGGTGAGACACAAATCACTGGCTATAGAGATGACTTGCCTTTTCACTTTTGTGGGAACTTTAAAATCCACTTTGGGCTTAAACCCGGTCACGCCACAATCCCGGTGACCCAGAGCCATGACCGTGGTAGTCATGAGGCGCACAGACTTGGCATCCGACAACAGGTCAGCCACAAACAATGTGCGGAAAAGCTGTCTTAGACAGGTTGAAGTCCTTAAGCAGTTTTCCCCGGCTCCCACGGCCACCGCTTCCATGTTTACCTCATACAGCTCGGTGGGAAGGACGGTAGACCCACCCAGCATGAAAAGCACACGAGGAACTTGGCTAAGAGAGAACAATGCCTCAAGGTGGGCCAGCACTTCATCTAGATCCTGCAATGTCCGCTGGCATCGATGCCAGTCCAAGCCCTCAGATGTCTTTGCAGACCGTTGGTTTACCATGTCCTTTGTCTGTGAGAAAGAAAGCACAATTCAGTCAAACTTTATTAGAATTATGAATTAAGGTATATCTACACATCAGGTCTTCTGTAATACCTGAGTGGCATTATGCTGCTGTTTCTGGAGGAACACCATTTGGTCATATGTCATAGGTATCTGCTGCCGCTGGTAAAGGACACACTTCAGAAGCTCACAAACAAATCTACAGCAGCCATCCTGGGTGATATGGCCGGGAAAGACAACATTCACTCGTCCTTCTTCTCTTGCTCTCCAGAATATTTCCTCATCATCAATGTGGTTTGCAGACACTCCACTAGATTCACAATCCCTCTGACTGCCAGAAGAATTGGCCAAAGGATCAATCTGCTGGCAATCTTTATATAAGACATTCGCATGACAGTATGAAAACAAAATAAGCGGAATCAAAATTTCATTTTCCTGAGGCACAGACTAAATTAGACAAAGATAAAGGTCAATGATGTCACACTCTTTTTTTTTTTTTGTCCAGATCTAAGAATTATTTACAGTTTTATAAAAGAGTTATTTAGATAAGTTGTGTTCATTATTAATTAAAACAATTTTTTTTGGTCTGATGCTTTGGGCATACAAACTATAAAAAACATACTACAATCATCAGTTTCAACCAGATGAAATTAACCCTGACCAAAAGTTATAACACCAAAGTAAAGCATTAAATTGCATTATTTTCATTAAAATGTATAATTGAGAGGCTTGAAGAGCCTAAAACATTTAGCATAAGTTTTCATTCATAGTGAATTAAAACTAGGTTTTTACTTAAAATTATATATATATATATATATATATATATAAAAAAGTAAAACCATTAAAATGCCATTAGTCACTCGTGACTGTATGGCTATATATAGGTATGTCAAGTTTGTTTTTATTATTCTCATTTGTAATCAACTTGTTTATCAACTATTATTTATCAATGAGAAGCATATACAGGAAATCTAACCATTTGCCACAACGTACCTACATCTTGACCGTCACCTCTATGTTCTGTTCTTGCATGTGTGAGGATATTTTCATTTTCTTTGTCTGCTGATGGGTTTAAAGGGGGATCCCCGTCTCTCTCAACCTCACCATTGTTGTCCAACAAGCACAAATTTTCCACCTTAGATTTAGTGGAGGATTCAGGATCATCGACATGGCACAAAATGTTCCATTCCTTTTCTCCATCAGATGAAACCTTTGATTCTTCTTCCTGAGATGTAGACTGATCGGTGTGAATAATTGTGTTGTTGTAGCTGTTGTTAGAAGTTTCGTTGGTGTTGCTATGTGTGATGACAGTCATGTTTGTACAGTCTAACTCTCCTCTCCTCGATTCCTCTTCCATTTCTACTGTTTGAATTTGCCCAACGGGCACGGCATCATGGGAAACACGGGAACCGGAAATCATGAGAAATGTAATAAAAGCCCCTCCCTTGCATTTTATTTAACCTTTTTCATATTATAAATAAATCGTTGGTTAACTGAGCGTGGTATTTCAGATGTATTTATGTGTTAATTGTCCTGTGTTTTGTCCTATTGTTTTTATTATTTTTTGTTTTGTTTTATTTCTCTGATTTAAGTCGGTGACTGACGCCCTCTGCAGGTTTAATTTTTCATACAATCATGTCAGGACTTTGGTTTTTGGCCATTCTAGTATCTAATCTAAATGCTATTAGGTTCTTGCCAGATTGATTGAAATTTCACAAGGAGCGTTTTGTACATTCTGTGCTCTAGTCAGGAGGCCTGCAGCGACCAGCAAAGATTCTGTCATAAATCACGTCTCGTCAAATAAACATTTTTCTTAACGAAATATTTACAGATAATATGAAATAACGTCTTTTTGGAACAAAGTGATAATGCTAAGAATGAAAAAAATAAAAATAAAAATCGACGTCCACATTTTCTCTCATATAACCAAATCTCCATAGCTTATATTTTAAGCAGTAATTAATAGCTATAAAATAAATAAATATACAAATGTACACATTATAGTTAATCAATGCCTTAAAGTAACATATTCAATCTATCTGAAGTCACAGAGCTCTTTTTAAAGGCTCATATGCAATCTATCTGGGTTGAAACACGTCCCCAGGCATTTACAGCAAACCTGTTATACAAAAAGGTTCATTTAGTAAATCACCAATATCATCAGATCTATCTTTTCCATTATTACATAGAGTAAATATCGCTGGATAATAATATATAGTTAGATCCACAGGAATGTTTCACCTTGTGCTTCAGTGGACCCTTTGTACAAATGTTATAGAGTTAATGCAAAGTATGTGAGGAGTCAGTATGGATTTCAAAAGTTCCAGTAATTTTTATCACAAGTTACTATTTTGGCATTCACCAAAACGCTAAAAAACATAAGTTGCGTTTGCCACAGGAGGTAATGCCGCTCGCACGTTTTCCATTGCCATCGTTTTCAGACGGTATGTCGATAAATGATGGAGAGTCCTGGAATTTCTGTAACTTTATTGTAGATTTGACTATCCCAGTATATTACACAACCGCCGTATTTTGTTTAAGAAACACATAAGTAAAGTTGCACATCAATAAACAGCTGTATCAAATAGGTGCTCCATCCCCGCATTCCACTACCACGCACGGCGCTGCAGTCTTCTGAAGCTTTTTCACTCACTCCCCTCGGTTGCTACCCCACCAACCCTACAACGCTTTGACGCTTTGACGCTCAACCTAGCCCACGTCAAGCGTCTGCGCGTTTTATCGGACTGCCGCATGAAACCATCCAATCCTAACACCACTTCCGCGTTCGAGCCGACCAATCGCCGCGCTCCATTTTCCACGCAGCCTCCACGGTTAGCGTTAAGGTAGGTTGCACCACTGCACAGTCTCCCCACCAACTACAATTTGACAGTTTCTCAGGTGAGGCGTCACGCCACAGGAGCTTTTTCACTTTCTCTTGAGTTTCAGCGCACATCTCACTGTGAGCCTGGGGTTGCTTAACTCAAAAACCAGTTACCAGAAGCCCTCACACCACGGCACCATGAGCAAAAAGAAAAAGGAGTGGAGAGCGGAGAAAGGTAAGGGTCTTTTGGACTCTGGTTGTGTCTCTTCCGTTTAAAGACAGGATTCATAACGGTAGCGTCAGTCTGGGGTTTGACATCCACCGGGTTGAACCTGGGGTCACAGCACGCACGTGGCGGGAGAAATGTCTTATAAATGCTCTTGCCTCTTGAATCAACAGCATGGACAGATGCACACCTTCAGATGCAGGTGGAGCATCAGTACATGATGCTGTGATCAAGGCCCTGATGTGTTCAGCGTTAAAATCTGTTTAAATGCAAATCAGATGCATTAATTAGTGTTTAATCTTTTATAAATGAATTGGAACATGCATGTGTTGGATTGGTGCATTCAGTGAAAAACCGTATGATAACATAAAAACCCCAATATGGTGCTTTGCATGAACTATGACCATTGCACCCTTGATCAAGACGACAAACCCTGTGTGACTAACTCCATGTAGTCTGAACCTGTAACAGGTGCACTGTACGTCAGTTTGCATAAATGCATCAGCTAAATTACAAATTAAAAGGTCTGTTGATTAAACATTTAATGAGATAAATATTATGCACGCATGCACGTTTGCTAAATCCTGGTCCTGGATATCCACCTTCATAAGTAGTTTAGTTCTAGAGCTTTTGTCTGAAATTGTAAGCATAATAGCCAAAAATGAGTTGGTTCAGTTGCGTTTGATCAGAGTTGGAGATAAACTTTCCTGGAAGTTAGATTTCTAGGGACATGATGGTATAGTGGAACTTTGATAGCATGTTTGGATGTTCTGCACTGTCCAATCCTGTTTGATAATATAATCATATTTTTGCTGGACACTTTATCATTACAATAAGATTGTTTATAATAATTTGAAGTGCACAAGCACTGCCACCTGTTCTTGACATAAACATCACTCAGTGTGACCTGAAGTTCATGACAACACTGTTTATTGATTGTTAACAATTTGGACTCCAGTGAAGTTTAATTATGTCCTATGAAGTTGCAAGACTGTAAATCATTAGGTTGACAGCATTGTTACTTGATACGCATTAATGGTCCACTATCATAAATCACACTCATAATAATATGATAAACTGTATATGATGAGAGCTATTGACTTACCGCCTAGTGTAATACAGTGCAATGCAGTAAACAAACATCATATAATTCTGTTATGATATCTTTAGATGGCGATTTGATGAAATGAATCAGCTTTGTTGGCGTTTGTGCTATTTTAAAATCGCAAGTACACATTGCACTCATAAAGCCACCTTTGTGAAAGACATCTTCATTCGTGTAGCAATAGGGAGCGCAGGATGATAAAAATGGAAAAAATAAATGAATAAAGATGATTAAAAAGGCAGATGTAGGGGCAGTCAGCTTGAAAAATCAGTAGTGTCGGCAGGGGCACTTTGGAGCTGGTTTGTATCAAGAATATCAAGGTAAAGTTTTATTTTGTCTTGAGTGAAAAAAAAAATGTTTTGGGAGCTTCTTAGAGATTATTACATTTAATTTTAATTTAACTTCTTATCTTACTGCAAAATAACTGCATAATAACTGTAATGTGAACCCATTAGGCTTTACTTTATTGCACCAATTTCTAGAAATACCAAATGTTGCATTTGAGTTATTAACTTCTGTTAGTACCTCTGCTTTGTATATTTCTGATTTTATTTTCATGTTTTATTTAGTCAGCACAAATGTAGTTAAATCTAGACAAGTGAAAATACAATGTTAAACAGTTTTCAAAAAAAGGTTTGGGTTATGATAAAAATAAGAAACAAAATTAAAACCTATTCTATTCTAAAACCTATTGTTAACATAATTATTATTTTTTATTGTCCTTTATTTTAAATGTAGAATTATGGGTTTTGTACCCTCCCTCCTATAAAACTTTTGTAAGGAGTTGTATGTCATTTAGTGTCAACAAAGGTTGCATTAATGGGAGAAACAAAAGTGAAACTAAAACCTTAGGAAGAAAGTTATGAACCTGTGGATGGAGAATGAAAAGAGAAAGGAGGATATAGATTGTAATTAGAAACCAACTGTATAAACTTTAGTCTATTGCAGTCTTGCAAGTCCTTAAATTATGGCCACATAAATATTAGTAAATTATTGAATTATATTGTCCATGTACACTACATAAAACAGATCACACACAGGCTGGTTCCATGTCAGGCCTGCAGCTGTATGCTGAACAGTGTACCCTCATTAGCTTGTCACTTCTTTCTTACACACACTTACATGGCTGCCACAATTACCACACCAAAGAGTACCACTCTGACACGATGCATAGAGCTAGTCGCAGATGTTCCTTTATGAACCCCTTGGATTCAAACTGATTAGCTTTGCTTTACAAGACGTGCTCTTGTCTGTCTGTATACTATGACAGTGTGGTTTCTTCTTTTGCACAGAGCGCTTACTCAGTCTTGGTCTTGAGGATAGGCGCAAAGATTATCGAGGAAACTATGTGCCATTGGACAAGATCCCCACCTGGGCAAATCATGACAATAATACAGGTAAATCTAGACGCCTTTCTGACTTGTTTTTCAACCATAGGCATACTTGGGAAAGCTGTTTGAAAATTGTTTGCAGTTTGTTTTGTGGTGCAGAAATTACACACGTTATTCTTAAGTAGCCCACATGCTTTTACAATAGTGAATTGTATATGCTACCATTCTGTAAGATTTTTTTTTTGTTTTTTAAGGAAAATTAATATTTTGTTCAGCATTAAATTGATTAAAAGTGACAGTAAAGACATTTATAATGATTTCGAGTAAATGCTGTTATTTTTAACTCTATATTTATCAAAGAAAGGTTTTTTAGTTTTTTCCACAAAAATATTAAGCAGCACAACTGTTTTCAATAATTATAATAATAAGTGTTTCTTGAGCACCAAATGAGTGTATTAGAATTTCTGAAGGATCATGTGACTTGAAAGATTGGAGTAATGGATGCTGAAAATTCAGCTTTGCCATCACAGGAATACATTACATTTTAAAAATATATTAAAATAGAAGCTGTTATTTTTTTAATGTAATAATATCACATGCATAACTTTTAGTAGTGCCTATGTGTCATGGTGAACAGCTTTAGAGTGTATTCTATTGCATTAAAGTTGCATAGTCATTCTAGAAGAAGGTACTGGTTGTTTCATGTCCTTCTCTACCAGAAGACACAATAGTCACTCTGCATGCAAGTGACTTGCTGCCCTTTTGAAGGGAGAGGACACATGGATCAGTGAGACCCTGACAGCTCAGATATCATAGCTTATTTATGGATGAAGATAGTTGCGCTATTCTGACCAGCTAGCTAAGTTTTATTAGTAGATTTAGTTCAGCAAATAGATGGTGACATTCCTCAAAATATCACCTTTTGTGTTCAGCAAAATGAGTTTGAAACAACTTGAGGGTGAGTAGCTAAATGATGACCGACTTTTAATTTTTGGGTGAACTATTCTTTTAAGTTCTGACTCGGTTTATCCAATCTGACACAACTGCAATGTTCACATTTTTTTTTTTTTTTTCATTTAATTTTTCTACATCAACTGTTTTTTTTTTTTTTTTAAAACCTCTTTAAGACTCTGTAATTTGTACAGAGGGTCCGTAGATTTGCACTGAGAGAGAAAGAAAGCATGTGCGATTACCTGCGTCTGCCCCTTCATCAGGTCAAGTCATATTCGTGAAAAAAATTAGTTTGCCATCAGCTGTCAGAAGAAGAATGCAGTATCTTTGTCATAGCATCCTTTCGGCATTTAAGGGAATTTCTATGACTTTTACTAAGGGTCAAGGCTCTTTTTTATCACAGGTTGTGATGATAATCGCTTGAAGAAATGTAATTATATAAATCCAGACGCAGCCACTGTGAGTGCCTCCTCTGCCATGTTGCCGTCAAATAAAACGGCTGCCGTGCCAACTTGCTACCTTAAACAAAAGCTTGCAACGTTATTCCCGCCTCCGGGGTCTTCTGATTGGTCCACTGTAATTTAGGCCTATGTCTTTTATTTGCATTCAAACAAACAAGACGAATAACATGAAAAAGAAAATACAATGGAATTGTTCACCAAAAAATGAAAATGCTGTCATCACTTACTCATCCTCATGTCATTTCAAACCTGTATGACTTGACATTCTTTCATGTAACACAAAAAGAAAATGTGTTTTTCATGGTCTTTTTTTCACTGAACTATTTGCAGTACAGATGAAACTCGTAATCTCAGAGCTGTCCCTTATTCTTGAATATTGATCTGTTCTGGATCATTGCCATATAGGGTCTTCTCATTGGTCCACTGTTTTGGAACTGAAATTGATGAGCAGCATTGCATGTAAAAGTTGAAATTCTTTTAACTTGACATGGCGTCTTTACGTGGCGCTCATGTGTGAGATGCTGCAAAAACCCGAGCACAAGTGTAACAGTCCATCTAGTGTGTGTTTACATAGAAAAACAATAGAAAAGTGGTGCATTGGATTGGAAAAACACATTCTGTGCGAATGGCCTCCAATGTGTTACTTTTCCAATGTTTTTCTATGTAAACACTCAAAAGAATGAACATTTTTACGAGCAGCGCCACTCATCAATGTCAGTTCCAAAACAGTGGACCAATTGGAAGACCCCGGGCACACATTGCAAGCTTTTGTTTACAGTAGCAAGTTGACATGGCAGCGGTTTTGTGGCATGGCAGCTGTTGTTTCCTGTTTCATATACTGTTGCATATAAGCTTAGATTGGTCTAATTTCAGAATGAAAAAAGTATAAATGATTATCCCATGGCTAACAGCTAACTGGTTCAGACTAGTTTTTAAAATTCCATTTTAACATAATGGCTGTATTTATGGCGGCACGTTCACACGCTGCGGCTTCTCTCTCTCCCGACAGAAAGGTGTTTGAATTGACAATAAAGCAGACTTGACTTGACTTGACTTGACTTATGCAACTGGCCCCAGAAGATCAGGAATGATTTTAAAGGCGTAGTTCAACCAAATAAGAAACTTCTGTCATCATTTACTAACTCTTAAAGGGGTAGTTCACCCCAAAATGAAAATTCTGTCATTAATTACTCACCCTCATGTCATTCCAAACACGTAACACCTTCGTTCATCTTTGGAACACAAATTAAGATATTTTTGATGAAATCTGAGAGCTCTCTGCTCCATAGACAGTAAGGGTCCTACCATGATCAAGGCACAGAAACATAGCAATGACATCGTTAAAATGGTCCATGTGACATCAGAGGTTCAACCGTAATTTTACGAAGCTACAAGAATACGTTTTGTGCACAAAGAAAACAAAAATAATGACTTTATTCAACGATTTCTTCTCTTCCGGGACAGTCCTCTGCCATTATCAACGCATGTGCGTGGTGCTGCTGACGTAGAACACGCATGCGATTCACCTTGTTTATGTACATAGGAACATAATGTGCATGTGTCTATAATGGCGTTGGACTGTCCCGGAAGAGAAGAAATCGTTGAATAAAGTCTTTATTTTTGTTTTCTTTGTGCACAAAAAGTATTCTCGTAGTATTCTCCTTACTACTCTCCTTTCTGTGCCTTGATCGTGGTAGGACCCTTGCTGTCTATGGAGGGGCAGAGAGCACTCGGATTTCATGAAAAAATCTTAATTTGTGTTCTGAAGATGAACGAAGGTCTTATGGGTTTGGAACGACATGAGGGTGAGGTGAACTAACCCTTTAAGGCCCGTTCACATCAAGAAGGATAACTATTAGCGTCCACACCAGTGCACAATATTGTCTGTTTATTCTGGGCGCAGTCACGTCTGCCGCTTTAAATTCTTCAGCCTGTGATAGCAGGATCGATTCTGATTGGGTATCAATGTTTTTATCATTCATCGGCTGGAAAAAATAATTCTGAAAGTGATTCCAATTATATTGTTTCTCTGTGCCTTTATCATTATAGCTGTGGTGTGGACTCTGCTATTCTTTAAAATTGAGAGATTCTTAGAAATGTATCTTTATCATTATCTTTATAGTTATCGGTGTGAACAGGCTCCTAAACCTTACAAGTTTTGTGAACCAGTAGATCAACAGATAAACTGAAAAGATTTGACTCAAAAAATTATTTGTTCACAGATCAGACATTTGTACTCCTTTCATAAATGTGGCAAAAGTTTCAGTGAGTGATTTACATTTTCACACTTGACATTTTTACATTCACACACAAAGCTTCCAGTGACTTCAGAAGAAATGTATAGTGATAGTTTTTTGTGATGCTATGTGTGCTTTTTGAAGCCTAAGTAAAAAGTCATGTAAAACATTGCTCTACTGCAGAAAGTCAGTTAGTCATACAGGTTTGAAATTACATGAGGGTGAGTAAATGAAGACAACGTTTACATTTTTTACTTTAAGAATTTTTCTCTGTATTTTCTTTTCTGTGGTATTCATCTTGTTTGTCAGAATGCAAATAATCCAGAAGAGCATGAATTACAGGTTTTTTTTCCCCTGAAGCAGTGAGAGAAAGGTTTCATACAAAAAGAAAGTGCTTTTTATTATACAGGCTTTTTATTATTTTTAATACAAATAAAATTTATAAAAGGCTTGAATACACTAATTCTTGATTCGTTATTTGTTATCTCACATAAAGGTCTAGAATTCACAAAGAAAGTGCTTGCTAACTCATTTAATCAGACAGGAACACGTGTATCTGTGCATAAGGCACAGATCTGAGAATATGGGTTTCATCTGTACTGCAAATTGTTCAGTTTTTTAGGATCTTGTTTCTTTTTCCATGAAAGAAAGTCAGGCCATACAGGTTTGAAATGACATGAGGATGAGTAAGTGATGACAGCATTTTCATTTTTGGGCAAACATTTCCTTTGCCTTTCCTTTTTTATGTTATTCATCTTGCTTGTTTGAATGCAAAACATCCAGAGAAGCATGCATTACATTTAATTATTGTTTTTCTGAGGCACAGTGGGACAGAGGTTTCATACAAAAAGTCAGACAAAGTGCAAACATACAAATCACGTTTATAAAAGACTTGAATACACATACTTGCTTTCTCACATAATGTTCTAGAATTAACACAGAAAGTGCTTCAATGAGACAGGAACACATGTAAACATAGTGTTTTATTGCTATGATCCATCATCCAGCAGTACAGTATAGAGGTCGACCGATATGGGTTTTTCACTGGCCGATGTCGATGCCGATATTTAGAAATCAGGGCAGCCGATGGCCGATATATGATGCAGATTTTTATGGCCGATATGTTTGGCCGATTTTCTTTTTTTTTTCCATTCATCCCCTAAAAATTGAGTTTGATAGTGATAGTAGTAGTAGCCCAATTTAGAGTAGTAATACATGGCTCAAAACTTAAAGTGGGGGTACAATACTGTTTCATGCATTCAGAGTTGTTTACACTGTTAAAGAGTTGGATTCTCATGCTAAGCATGGACAAAGTTTCAAAAAACAATTTGGACATGACGGATTATTTCTGTGCCAAAGATCTTACTTCCGGGGTCGTACAAGTTTCGGAGAGTTTTTTTCGATCGTGGCTCTTCAT